GGTATATAAGTCGAACTGCTATTGCTATTGCTACCGCTACCCTAATGGATTGAACTAATGGTCTCCTGCAAACTCCCCTCGCCTCTTTTATTTCCTCTGGGAGGGGCCATTCCCTGCCCACCTGTGCCTTTACCCCCGAATCGACCCCTGTTCTTTAGCTGTTGTTATCTCTTTTCAACTGTCAACTGGTGTATTTTCAGGATGGTATATGCGCATGCACAGAGCTGCCAGATGAAGGGAACAGCTAAAGAACAGGGGTCGATTCGGGGGTAAAGGCACAGGTGGGCAGGGAATGGCCCCTCCCAGAGGAAATAAAAGAGGCGAGGGGAGTTTGCAGGAGGCAATTAGTTCAATTCAACGGGGTGAAGATCTGCTCCTGACTCCTTGCCAAGGAATTGCTGCTACAGCGTGGCGTTTGGAAGATATCGGCCTGGCAGCTCTCCAAGCCTGATCAAGGTCTCTAGTGGTGAAATCTCGTGAGAGACGGTTGGCTTGGACTTTGCTGGAGAGGAATTCCCTTGAAACTAAACAAAAAGGGGTTTCATCGGGACGAGGAGTCGGCTTCGTGCTCTTGGGAAGCCTCGGTCAGAACGGGCGCGATCCATGCCACCATCTTGACTTTTTTGACTGCATTGCACAACCCCAGCAAAGAGCGGAGAAAGGGGCATAAGAGGGGCAGGAGGTGGACAGAGAGCCTGAACTGAAAGGATGAAATCCGGGACCGGCCACAGGGCATCCAAGGGGGGGGGGGGGGAGAGCCAGCCCAGGCAGGCAATAGCCGATCTCGCAGCAGGTCTGAAAGGGGGGGGGGGGGGCGGCGCAGCCATGGGCCCGGCCAAGCTTTAGGGTTGGCCTTTGAAGCGCCAAGGGAAGAAGGGGGTTCCAGCAAACAGAAGGCTTGGGGGTTGGAATTTTGTTCCGGGGGTGGGGGGTTGGGGAGGAGATCGCAGCGCTTCCCACAAGCCCACCCCGAGGCTGGGGAGGGGCTCTGCCTTTGATCGCTTACCTTGCTCTGGACCACCGGCTGCGGGAACTCGCTCATGGCGCTCATCAGCCAGCCCTCCAGGCTCTTGGCAAAGTTGCGGATGGCTTGGGTGAGGGTGCCTGCGGGGGAAGAGAACGGGGCGGCCTCAGCTGAGTCGGGGAGCTGGAAGCCCCGACTGAGAGACCCAAAGGCAACTGGACTTCCTGGTTTTTCTTTAAAGACATTTCGCTTCCCATCTGAGAAGCTTCTTCAGCTCTGACTGGATGGTGGGGAAGGCAAGGATTTATACTCCTTGCAGGCAGCCGAGGTGGCACAGTGGTTAGGGTGCAGCACTGCAGGCCACTTCAGCTGACTGTTATCTGCAGTTCGGCTGTTCAAATCTCACCGGCTCAAGGCTTCCATCCTTCCGAGGTGGGTGAAATGAGGACCCAGACTGTGGGGGCAATATATGCTGACTCTGTAAACCGCTTAGAGAGGGCTGAAAGCCCCATGAAGCGGTATATAAGTCTACTTAATAAATAAATAAATAATAAATCTTAAGTCAACGCAACATAAGTGCACACTTCCAGCCCAAGAGTACACAAAGGCACAAGCTTGTCCATTAAACACCCAGACACAAACTGAGCAAGGTGGTTTATGCAGCACAATGCAGGGAGTCATGTGCCGATCTGCACATTGGGGGAAACAAAACAGCCACTTCACCAACACATGGCGCACCCTAGGAGAAGAAAGCCATCAGGACAAGATTCAGAAGTCCACCTGCATTGAAGAGACGAAGAAGGCCACTCTTTTGAGGACAGACATTTTGGACAGAGATACTGCTGGCTTGAAAGAAGATGGGTCAAAGATGCCATCTGGGTCCACATTCTCTTAACAGAGGGGGAGGGATACAACATGGTGGCCTTTCAGCTCTGACGGACCTTGGATGAAGCAGATTATCTAGATCCCTTTCAGTCGGGTTTCAGGCCTGGTTACT